TCAATAAATAGACGAAAAGTTACAATGACAAACAGTGTATATGTCTGCACTGTTGTGACTGATTTTGAGCCATATTGTCGAGAATCTCCAAACATTGGTTTCCAGCATCTCGAGGACTTCAGCTAGACAGTCTACATCTCTCTACGCGGCTAAGATTAACAGTTGAGGACTTCGTAGTCCTATTTCTAACATAATCAGATCATTCTTAGCCTAATTCCAATCTAATTCTGCTTCAGTTAACAATGCACGATGAGGCAGATGGTGACTAGACATGTGGGACGCACATCCCAACCATCTGAGTTGGTGAACTTTCATAACCTTATCAACTACCTTTCGTCTTTTGACTGGTGCTATTTGATTGACTTGTAAGCTACTGACGTGGTGGCACGATGACACACGGTCCATGCTACGAAGGTGACAGTAGTCGGATACGTGAAACCCTCTCATATCCTCAACCTTTAATAACCATGTTTGATACCCATATAGTGGAAGAGAGCGAACAGCAGTGCAGTGCATTCGACCCCTAGTAGGGAATGGGATATCACAGTGGCGCCACAGATGGTTTAAGTTGGCAAAATTTAATCAAGTTTTTTGCATTTGTACAGAGATTTCGTCGCCCACAGACCCACTAGGGCTGATCTGACTTCTCAAGTAAGTGAATTTCTCAATGCACTCAGTCACTCCACTCGGCATCGTTAGATGGGCGCCAATGGAGATCAGTTCCGGAGTAAAAATTCATATGCGGGTGGAAAAGGCATCCAAAATTGCCACTCATTGTGTTCAGAAGAATTTACATCTTATCAGCGTCCTCACCTAAGATAACTTTGTCATCCGCTTACTCTAAGTCCACAAAATCGACGCCGGTTAAGTCAGACAACAAGATAGACATCTTCGTAAGCAATTCTATGACAAAATTAAATGAGAATAGAACTGGTGGACATCCTTAACAGACACCACTCGATGTACTCAAATGAGAAATCACTATGGTTATTTAGTAAATCATCTACTTTTGTTTATGAGACACTTCAACATCATAACCATTATCATTTGATATTAATGATGAATAGTGGCTAGCAGTGAAATCCACGACGGATGTTTCGTCCTATTCAGGACTCGTCAAGTGGATGTATCTACCTCCTAGTGGATGGTGTTGTTCCGACTAAAACTCGAACCCAGGACGAATCGTTTAAAATGCCAGAGTGTTATCTTCTAGGCCACCGATAGCTACTCTTTGTACGACCGAGTTCATATGCCAGTAGTGGCCGATCAATTCAGTTCAATCAACGACGGAGATGCACAAGCTGTAACATGAAAGACATCATCATTCGAACCTACAGTGTTTCAATCTCATATTAGATAAGTATTTTTTTTCTTCAGAATCTTCAGCTTATTGATTCCTCTTAGTTTTCTTCACGTTGAATCATTTCTCATGTAAACAGATTAGTCATTTTTTTTACCTAACAACGAGTTTATTATTTATTTATCATCCATAAACAGTCTACCTGTGAGCTGCTTAGTATCATATTAGATTTCACATGAATAAGCATTCTCTCATACCATATACTTTACTAACCGGAATTGAAGCTTTAAGTTCTCCCATTATAATATGCTTTAGTCTGATGGTACTTCATTTTAATGATTCACTAGCCTTCTAATGCTATGAAGACAAATATCTAGTCATGAAACTCTTAAAAAAGCATTGAAACTCTCTTTTTATATTTCCTTCCTTCATTCTTTCTTTCACTTGTCTATTTATCATTGTCATTATTCCCTCGACTAAAAAGAAAAAGAGAGGCATATGATAATAAAAATGATGATGCCTCATTGGTTATTTTTACTTCCTCCTCAGCATACATTTATTTCTATGTCCACCAATTGAGTTCTTAGCCAGCGGAGAAGAAAATCATTGTTCCCAGTTTTCGCTAATTTTTGCTATTTTGTTTTTCTTCTTGTTCTTTCCTACCTTCTTTCTTTTTCTTCCTAATATTCTTTGTTTTCTCATAGTGACACGGTGCTCGTGGGTGTGTGTATATTCTATTGGATGTATGCTATACACTTTATATACAATCACCTACATGTGTCGATTGAACATGTCAGATAAGCCGGGGTCAAATACATCAGTCATTATGGTCACTATTATTATTATTAGCACTAATAATATTACTACTGCTGTTTGTTGATGCTAAAACTATATGTTGACTGGTTGCACGCCATTGTTTTAGTCTTAACTATCAAAAGATATAAACTAAAATATGCTCTTTGTCTGTTGAATATACATCGCTATTGGTTGATTAGTTGATTTCATTTCTTATATATTGTCCATTTAGTTCCTGTCACATCACCTACCACCCCACCTCCGCATACACACATACATACCCTAATCTACTATAGAAATAAACAGCAATAGAGCCAGTTAAAATCGCTATCTCTTCCAAAATAAGAATCTAGTCTAAAATACAGAAATGATGGATATTGGCTAGCAGTAGAATCCACGACGCGCGTTTCTTCCTATTTGGGACTCGTCAGGTGGATGTATTTGCTTCCCACTGGGTGATGTTATTCTCATTAAAACTCGAACCCATGACCGATCTCTTCAAACGTCAGAGCGTTATCTATTAGACCATCGAGTCACGATAGCCAGTCTTTGTGCGGCAGGTATAGTTTCAGTGTTATAGCTTGCAAATGTCGGTCGTTGGTTGGACCAAGTTGATCGACCACTGGGTTTGGGTCTTGGTCGGAACAACATCATTCGTTGGGGTGGGGGGGGGGTGGGCAGGTACATCCACTTGACGAGTCCTAAATAGGACGAAACGCGCGTCATGGATTCTATTGTTACACACTGTCCATCATTACTACTAAAGTGAAGTATCGAGACATCCTCAAAATATCTCATATACCAATAGACACCGATCAATTCGATCCAATCCATGACGGGAAATTACAAGCAGTGATATATTCCAGTCATATCAAAATAAGTGGGATATTCATGAATTCTGTTATGGAGTGGAACATCAACTTGAAATCTTTCTCATCACGATCAAAATCTCAGAACAACACTATGCCCTCAATATGTTTAAAAGTTAAATTTGTGATTTTTTTTCTCAATGATATGATCTGGCTACATATCACCATACTCAATCAAATACTGCATTTTTGATCACTCCGCCTATGTTTTTGATTTCTTTGTCAGCTGATTAATGAATCGGCTGTTCCCTAAACAGCAGAAATTATTTTCAGTTCTGTAATGTTCAGCTGTTTGCACCTAACCCTGAAGCCATGCTTTCGATATGCATAACATCATAGTCCTACACTGTTGCTACACTTCAGCACAAAAATCACTGGCAACTTGAGGTAAATTCCCCAACTGTTACAATTTAGTTACTGAAACTCCGGACAAGAAAAAGATTGCTAAAATGATTGAAGATTTTACTACAAGGCTTATTTTATTCCCAATAAAAACAGGTTGTTTATGTTTTTATGGAGAGTAATCCATGGTTTCTAGAACACGCTGAAGAATTTCCTATTGTTAGCAATCAACATTGGAGTATGTAATGCTATACCTACACACAGTGTTTAAATGGCATCTGTCTAGCTTTAGAAGCATGCTGCTGACTGAACAAGCGTATTTCTCCACGACTTCCAGTTTCCCTTAGGATGTGACAGGTAGTTTTTCAACTCCTTGATAGCTAAATTTTTTTACTGTTCATGAGTGATTATGTGATCAATAGTTTTCGTAACATAAAAGGATTATGCTGACTTCTGATTTTTAAAAGTGTTAAATTGGTATCAGTGATAACAACAAAGAAGTCTTATAATCATTCATATTTTTAAGGTAGTGTTTATCATGGACTGACAGCAATTGGAGAACCACTGGAAACTTGGGAGCACTGGATAGATGCTTCATCCTAGTGCGAGACTCCTCAGGAGTACACACCCATGACTCCACCAAGAGTCGGACTTAGGATTTTCAGGTCCCAAGGCGAACGCGTTAACCACTCAGCTACTGAGTCAGAGCTCAGTGGTCTACAGTTTCCTACTTCTGTCAATTCGTGATATAGCACGACTATCCACGTAAGTCTTCAGTTGACATCCCTTTTACTTCCGATTGGCTGGCCTCATAGATCAAGATTTCTCATTGGAACTTTGAGATATTCATCTCAAAGGATTTCACTAATAAACACTAAACAGTAATGTTATTTGAAGTTCATGATGTCACTCTATGGTGAATACTACCTTAAAAATCCCCATAAACCTGAAACTAAGTCATTTATATGTTACCATACTAATTAGGCTAACTAATTGTGTGCAATTCTTTATAACTTTGGTTTTTTTAGGCAAGTAACTTTATTTATAGTTACTACAGACTTAAAGATTATACTGACCCAATTAGATAGAATTAGTTTATTTACCGAATACCTTGGAATGACTATGAGATAAAATACACAGGTCAAACCAGCCAAGCGGGATCGATCAGGCTAACAGAACATTGGAAGGAACCTAGTGAAGTTTAGAATGATAGATCCTACTAAGATGAGTAATCTGAAGAAGAATTCAGTGATAACTATGTATGCAATAACAAGCAAGTATATAAGAAAGCGGAAGTAGAGTTACAGTCCTGAAAACTAAGTGGAGAGAAGAGTTGACCACTGAATCTCTGTGAATCAATTTAACGCTTAACTTATGTAATCGAAATGATTCAACACCGATTTCAGGTGTTTAGAAAATCCCATTACCAATGAAACCCAGGAACCAAGAACAATAGAAGTAAGCATAAAACTAGACAAGAAAGTTGTGTGTTTGCCTTGATATGATTATGAGCAATAAATTCTGCCTGAAACATCATCTAGTAAACAATTCTATATCAATGTGTGCTATATCAAATTGACTAATCTAATATAGAATTACATTCTACTACTGTAACAAAACTCATTACTTACATTGGTTTGTAATTACTTCTAACTATTCCCTTCTTTCTTTCTATTGTATTCCATGGAAACAAGGCATTATCCTCCAATGGAAATTTGCTATTCATTCGACCAGAATGGATTTTTGCTTGTGATCAGCATGGTGAATGGATGGCGTATGAATCATATCAAGTTAAATTAGGTGAACATTAGTACAGAGAACAGGGCTGTCAACGAAAAGAAAAAGAAGAAAGTGGAACAGGGAAACAACTCACTTTTATCATCTCCTCTCTCATAATTATCCTTTTAATAGGTTTGTTCTGTTGACAATGTGGAGGATTGGGGAGAGGGGGGGGTTCCACACTTTTCTGCTCATTTCTTCTACCCCCCCCCCCAGATCTTTCTGTTATCAATTATGCCAATATATCACTTTTTTTTATTGTCATTGTTTATATATCCACCTTTTATCATTTTCAGTACCGCTACTGTTAATGCAAAGAAAAACTTTATGCCTCTGTTTTATTACTACTATAGTGGAATACTACTGATAGAATAAGATGTGTATTGAATGGTATTGAATATTTAAGAATTGAAAATTGTAAGTTAACGAGTAACTAATTAAAGTTTCCTGTACTGTCAGACTGGTTGATTAAGAAATAAGCGAATCATATAATGACATCTTTTAATGAACAAGTAATCAGTCTATAAAATGTTTGAATTACTGTTGCTATTAAACTAGAATTGAACTCTGTGAGTAACCAAGTATATCTCCATGCGCTTGGCAATGAAGCATACTAATTGTGTAGGAAGGGGCTAACTTTTACTACCTGGCTGAAAGCTGACCAACCTAAACCGACAAGTCATAGCTCCACATTACCATTGATAAAGATGACTTAAGTTATTCACTAGTTATCCTATGTTGTGTCTAAATAAGTTTACGGTTAATGTTCTAAGGAAACCTAAATTGTGAAAGAATACGAATCATCAACGTCTAAGTTATCCACCAGACAATGTATCGACTGAGTTATATGACCTAGTTGTTGTCTAACTCCGTGCTTGGTTCACTTCAATCATTAAGTATAGCAAATTAGAGTCTTCGGTTTCTAATCGTACCTCAATTCAAGTTTTCTTTCGATGTCAGTCATCAATACCTGCCATCTGTAAATAACAGTCTGTTAGTCAGAGCTATTTCCTATATCTTATTATATATTTAGCATTGTCTCTTTCAATAGTGATGAATGTCAGGTAAAAGTTCATTTGTTCAGATTGTCAGACATAGAAAGTATACACAGAAAGAAAAAATTAACTTGTATCACGTTATCATTGAGCCTCTGGGTAGCAATCCAATGGTTCATATTTCCTACTTCTATCAGTTCACTATATATCAAGACCTCCATCCAGTGCCATCATTGAATATCTCTCCCCTTTTCCAACTTGGTTAGCTTCGTCGGTCATGACTTCTCACTAGAACTTCGGGAATCACCTCTGAAAGCAAGTCACTAATGAGCACTAGTTTAATTCAATTTTGAGGATTTGGGGATTAACTTATTGATTTCAGGGTGATATTGAACGTAGACTGACATCATTTGAAGAAACATTGGAAACTTGGGAATCATTGTTATACCTATGGAAATGCAATCAAATGAATTCATCCTAGTCACTTCAGTGATGGTTGTGAGGTTCGATTAGGAATTTGAGAAGCTATGTTATACGCTTGTCAACACTCATCATTAAGGCGTTTCATCAACCCTAGGGGAACTCAAACTGCTCATTAGCGTCTCTAATTGAATCATTGTGCAACCCTAACGTACGTACATCTTTGAGGGAACATAAGACTGTATAAATACCGGTTGTTGATCAGTGTAATGAAGCGAAACAGTTACTGAAAGCAGGGTTTCCTGGTGTTAACTGCCAAATATTCATCACTACATTCAATGTAACAGAATGTCAAGTCGTTGATTGGTACTTTTAATTTCCTGTTTCTATACAGGGTTGAAGTATCAAAGAACAATAAACGATTTACTGTAGCATAAGTGGTGGTTTTTGTACCACAGTAACCTAGTGGATAACGATTTAGCGTTTAAAGCGATGGGTGCTGAGTTCGAGTCCCAGAGGGAGCAACATCACTCATTGGGATGCACGTACATCCACCTGGCGAGTCCCAGATAGGACGAAACGCACATCCTGGATTCCACTAGGCGTCACTAAGATGAATAGGACATCAGGTCATTTAATATGGTTGCTAGATAGCAATGAACAATAGACAGATTCACATTGTTTATCTCCTAATAACTGATCAACTCAACTTTGAATGTCATGATAATCCTATGCGGATTTCGAATATTATTCATACGCTGTTCATTTGAGATATCCTATTTTCATTACCATATGAATATCTATTCCAATCTTACTAGTCTTGTAGATAGAATGAACAATTCTAAAGGTCACTTGGATAAATCGATATGTTTAGCATTATATATATATATATATATATATATATATACTGTCAGAATTTTAATCAATTTAATAATGTAGATAAGCTGTTTAAGGTCAAAATGTGTCACTCATATTACGATTGAGAAGGACTAATGAAGATTTGAATAGTAATGTAAACAATGTTTATTATGGTAATTCGTTTGGCTGTCATTAGCAGAAGAATCCACGACGCACGTTCCGTCCTATTTGCAACTCGTCAGCTGGACATACCTGTACCTCAGTGAGTGATGTTATTCCCACTGAGACTAGAACCCCGTATCCTTCACTTCAAATGCCAAGGCGTTATCCACTATTCCACGGGGGCAGAAGAATCCAGAATCCTAGCCACAACCATACGAATTACTATAATTAACATTCAGGCAATATCGAGGCATCCGCATAGGAGCCCATATGCCAATAAAGGTCGAACAATTCGATCCAATAAAACAATGGAGAATTACAGGTATATCAATAGATAGTAATGTTTATTATAGCAGAAGATTTCTGTTCCAGCAGGGTAATAAAACCTGAGCGATGAAGTAAAGTCCTCGGATGATAATTAAATATTTTGACATCCTGATTTCTGATTGTCTCCATTGAGATTCAAACTTCAGGTGAATGAAACACGTCACCTAGATTTAACTTCTAGCCTCCAGCACACGATTAATATCAAGACGAAAATGAAGAGGATATTTTCAGCTACATGTGTACAAATGCCTATATTTCAACAGAAGCCAGCCAGTCTACTCCAGTAGGTTTGTTAGAATCAGTCTGGTTGAATGTTTAATTAACCAACCCTGAAAGCTGATCAGTGAACCATAGAACAGAAATAAAGAGATGAAACACAGAAGTAATACTACAGTACAACAGTTGTTTTTCACAGATTATTCAGAAATTTGTAAGAACACATTTGAAGTGATGAGTAGTAGTGTTAAAAAGAAAGAAAAAACTAAGAATGCATTCAGAGTTTCGATGGTATTAACATGTAAAGAAAAAATGTCATCAGAACCAGAATACGGTTGGAATAGATGTGGCGTTAGAACTCACAAAATCACCTGGAAATAAAATTTTGTTGGGTTGCAGATTCTGTTGACCGTATTCCCCAAAATTATCTGGCCTAAAAGAATATCATGCCATGGTCACCACATCAGCTGTATGCCTTACACCAATCATTAGGCTATCACATGATAGGAAACTAGGTTTATATTGTTATCTGCTCACTGGCTAGCAGTGGAATCCACGACGTGAGTTTCTTCCTGTTTGGAGTTCGTCAGCTGGATGTACCTACACTCCAGTGAGTGGTATTGTTCCCAGTACACATCTCTCCAAACGCCAGAACGTCATCCACTAGGCCACTGAGATACAAGAGGTTACAACAGGTACCAGTTTTTGTTTGATACTTGCAATATCCTGTTGCTAAACTGGGTTGAATCGCTTGAGAACTAACTTATTTTAGAATAACTGACCCTATCACTATAACTGATCTGTAAATGCCTCAGTTATCGCAGTGATCACACCCACAGACTGGCAGCAATACGTCGAGATAAACTGACAATCACAAATGTTGGAGTAGTTAATTTGAAGGAAAGACTGATTACTGAACATTTGGTCTCATTGAATCAGTAACATCCAATATACAAGGAATAGTACAACACGAGTTCAGGCGGATTCTTCTTTCACTGTTTCCACTGCTTTTATTATTGAAGTCGAAGGATAAGAGATACTGGGATATTGGAAATCAAGTATTGGAAGCTGCCTAACTTATCTGATGTTATCACTGACTACAAAAAGTGACTAAAACATCATTCAGCTGTTTGATGACAAAGAGTTGTAATCGGATTTCGGACGAGTCACCTTTTTTGCCTATGTAAGCATTATTTCTTCAACTCTGTCGATATGAGTCGACAGTAGCTTTTAACATTTTGATGAAGCTATGATCATAATTATCTCAGTTGAATTCTCTGGTTTCGTGACATTCACTCAGATGTAAGATAGTTGAAGACAGTCGACGGGAAGCACGGAACCTAGATTTCGTGCTCCTTAGCATTCATCAGCAATGAACGCCTGTGATCTCGATGAGACCGATGTCCCATCCGAGACTCGAAACCGCTTCACTCGATGACTCAGTCAGAGGCATTACCACTGAGTTGTTCCACCTGCGACTGACCTGTAGTACTGGATTAACTGATCGCTGAAGACTGTGGAGTTTCATTTTGTCTAGATCTAAGTACTGATTGAATTATATAGGTCATTTTGCAATGCAGTCACCTAACCAGTAGACACTACAGGGACATTAATGCCTTCGAGGTTTTAGGTACGGTTTACTGACAAGTCCCAAAAAGCACGAAATCTAACTTCTGAGCTTTTGTGGATTGCATTCCATAATCTGACATCGATCAAAGTGAATCGTATTGTTGAGTCTTCTAGCTGGGTGACCACACTAGGAAATGATCAGTAGGGTCCAGTCAGCGGTTAATATTTAGCAGCATGAAGTTGTTTGCTCTCCAGTGGCCAATCACTGCATAGTCATTCTGAGTTTGATAAATATTTGGTGTTCTCTAAGACCTGATATTTCATCACCAGACTTCGTAACACTTGTCAGCACCATCATCATTTGGAAATGAGATATGTTCTAGGGTGAGATGAATGTTTAGTTAGGGGACTTAGATGTTGTACAATTGTCATTCGTTGGAGGCTTTCTTACCACACCTTTACCTATCTTAGATTTCATTGAATTA